TTCTACATAAGTCCTCCTAGTCCTGCAACAAACCTTTCAATTCAGTTCGCTGTTCCTGAGATGGATAGCTCACTACCCTATCCCATTCTTTAAGACGTCCTCATTATTCAATTTATTTTGAGGCACATCAAAATCCACGTCATCTGTATTTGATTCCTCACTCTGAGTGACAGTAATTAATCCCTGTTTCTCCGGTTCCCTTTCTTTATCATAGTAAGGTTTCAGTGTGTTCACATGACAAACCCGATAAATTTTTTCTTCTATCTGGCATCTTTACCAGATAATTCACCTGACTTAACTTCTTCTCAAGCTGATAGGGACCACTCAACCTTGCTTTGAAGGGATCTTCTGGAATACATTCTGGAACACATTTCTGATTACTTTTCTGAGTAGGCTTTATGATATGAATCTTTTATTGTCTCATTTTTTTGTTGTAACTCCATTAGTCTTTCAGAACCAGACACCTCTACCTGCGTAGGTTCCTCCTTTACCATTTCATCAAACAGAGTGTCAGCTAACTGGAACTCAACTCCTTCGTCTTTCTCTTTGGTTTTCCCTTCTTGTTTTAACTTATGACTGTTGGATCTTGCCACCACACAAACTCACTTTCAGAAAAATTCGGAAAATTTCAGATATTTTTCTTTTAGCTTCTCCACTACAATGGACATCACTCTCACCTTTGATCCAGCTATTTTGTTTCCGAGAACAAACTGTATTCCTGGAATAGACACTCTTTCAATCACTCTCACTGTCACTTCCCTGGTCTTGATTTGACTTTCCAGCCTTATCTTACACAGGGGAACACTAAATCTCTCTTCATTTATTCCATAGATTATCACTCTCTTGGGTAACATTTCAGAAGAAGTGCAAATACTTTCCTCTCTTATTGTTAGAGATTGACCAGATCCCGTATCTCTCATTGTTTTAACTTCTTTACTTACTTCCCCTGTTCTACCTGAGTAAACCTTACCCACAGAAGTGAAGTCTTTGAAAAGAGCGGACACTCTGTTACTTTCCAGCCCGTGACTTGGCTGTTCACTCTCCTGCCGCTCCTCGACTTCTCCAATCATAGAATTCCTACAATGTGGAAACAGGCCATTCGGCCCAACGAGTCCATACCACCCCTCTGAAGAGTATCCCACTCAGACCCATTTCCCTACCCCTGCACTTCCCATGTCCAACCCCTCTAACCTAAATGTCCCTGGGCACTATGGGTAATTTAGCCTAGCCAATCCACCCTAACCTGCACATCTTTGGACTGTGGGAAGAAACCAGAGCACGCAGAGGAAACCCACGCAGACACGGGGAGAATGTGCAAACTTCACACAGACAGTTGCCCGAGGCTGGAATTGAACCTGGGTCCCTAGCGCTGTGAGGCAGCAGTGCTGACCATTGAGCCACTGTACTGTACTGCCCCCAAACTTGGGATTTTCTTCACTAACGCAGCTAATCCTACAGTTTAGCCTCTTTTATCACATCCCTTTTCCCCAGTGCCTCTCTTAATCCATCAGTACACTGACTTTGTGCATTACAGTGACAACACATGAGATCTTTCACCTCTTTTCCACCCTCTTGGCTTTCTTTTTTCACATGTGGTAAACTGTTCACCGTGTGGTCTACTTTTTGATTTTCACGGAATGAAATTGCTGTTGGAATCTAGATTTAAATTTGTGCACTAATGTGTATTTATCAGCCATCTCTGCAGCTCTTCTTGCTGTTTTAACTTTCTGTTCCTCAACATGAGTTCTTACATTTTTGGAAGTGAGTTTTTGAACTCCTCCAACAGAATAATGTCTCTAAGGTGCTATTATGTCTTTTATATCTTTAATGCTCTCTTCTATCTTTTGAAGTTGCTATGTTTAATTCTTTCAAACTCGACATAAGCCTGACTTGGTTCCTTCCTTATATTTCTGAGCCATTATAAATTATGCATATGAGTCTATATGCATCTGGTACCAATTCGTAGGCATTCAAAATAGCCTGTTTTACTTCTTCATATTCTCTTCTCACCTCCTCTGACAGCGCTGTAAATACCTCACTAACTCTCCTACCAACTTGGTCTGAATTAACATTACCCACATAGTCTCTGGCTAGTTCATCTGGTTCCCCATTTTGTCAAAGGAAATGAAGAAGGCTTCTACATCCTTTTCATCGAATTTTGGTAAGGTTTTGACATATTTGTATATATCCCTAATAGGTCTTTGGCTTGATTTGCTCATCATAACTCTCTTCTCCACTAGCCTATCTTTTACTTGCATTTCCAACAACCAGGATATGTCTTCTCCCCTGATCATCAGTCAGGAACACCTTTCTCCATCGAATTCTTGTGTCAGGAATATTAGCTAAGAGTGCCACTGCACCTTTAGTTAAATGATGGTTTTCTGAGAGCTTAGAGAATTCTGTGAGAGTCAGTGATTTTCTCTTTAGGGCTGCTTGTTGTTAACTCTAACAGATGGCAGTTGCTCTCTCAGGAATTTTCAAATAACCTCTTCTTTTATACCCTAGATGACCTATCACTTCCTTACAATAGGATTGGTCCTAAGTTGTCAAAACCATCAGATTAAAATTTAATATCTTTTAGTCTCTAAGTGCCTGGTTTAAATTAATTGTCTGATATTCAATCTGGTTGCCTTAATAACAAAACATGACTTCTGTCTGGGTTGCTAACCATACAGCCTTTTGATACAAATGTTTCAATTTCAGGAACTCTGTGTCAGCTGCTGCTTGCAGACAGTTTTTTTATTCCCGAAGCCTGGAAAAAACATACCGTCTTTAAAGGGACCACCCATTTCCCCCCCCCCCTCATCATTTTATAGACAAGTTCTAACATCCTGCCTTGCAATCCATAAGTACTCTACATAACTTTGCAACAATCAGTGACAAGTGGTGTGCTTCAGGGATCAGTGTTGGGACTGCCATTGTTTACAATTTACATAGGTGATTTGGAGTCGGGCAACCATGTGTAGTGTGTCAAAGTTTGTGGATGACACTAAGATGAGTGGTAGAGCAAAGTGTGCAGAGGACTCTGAAAGTTTACAGAGGGATATAGATAGGATAAGGAAGTGAGCAAGGATCTGGCAGATGGAGTACAATGTTGATAAATGTGAAGTCATCTATTTTGGTTGGAGTAGCAGTAAAAAGGACTATTACTTGAATGGTAAAAAATTGCACCAAGCTGCTGTGCAGAGGGACCTGGGTGTCCTTGTGCATGAATTGCAGAATGTTGCTTTGCAGGTGCAACAGGTAATTAAGGCAAATGGAATTTTGTCCTTCATTGCTAGCGGGTTTGAGGTTAAAAGTAGGGAGGTTACGTTGCAGCTGTATAGGGTGCTGTTGAGGCCACACCTGGAGTACTGTGTGCAGTTTTGGTCTCCTGACTTGAGAAAGGATGTTCTGGTATTGGAGAGGGTGCAGAGGAGATTAACAAGGTTGATTCTAGAGTTGAGAGGGTTGTCTTATGAAGACAGACTGAGTAGATTGGGATTTTATTCATTGCAATTTAGAAGAATGAGGGGGAATATTATAGAAACAAAAGAACTATGAAGGGAATAGATAAGATAGAAGAAGGGAGGCTGTTTCCATTGGCAGGTGATACTAGAACAAGAGGGCATACCCTAAAAATTAGGGGGAGCAGATTTAGGACTGAATTGAGGAGGAACTTCTTCATGCAAAGGGTTATAACTATGTGGAATTCTCTGCCCAGTGAAGTAATTGAGGCTTCCTCATTGAATGTTTTTAAAGCTAAGGTAGATAATTTTTTGAACAGTAAAGGAATTAAGGGTTCTGGTGAAATGGTGGGTAAGTGGAGCTGAGGCCACAGAAAGATCTGCCTTTATCTTATTGAATGGCAGAGTCGGCTTAAAGGGCCAGATGGCCTACTCCTGCACCTGATTCTTATGTTCTTTTCTGCACTGTAGAGATTCTCTGACAGAAATATGTTGCCCCATCTGTCATAACGTAATGACTCCTTATTTTCAAACAGTGAACCCTCCTACCCAATTTCAAAGGTCTTATCCTTTTCATATCCAACCAATCAAGTCCTTTCAGGATCTTGTATGTTTCAATCAATTTACTTCTTAGTATTCTAAACTCAAACGGATACAATCCATCTTGTCCAGCCTATTCCAGATATTAGTCTAATAAATCTTGTCTGAACTGCAGACCAATACTGTACACAGTAATCCAGATTTGGTCACCAACAATGCCCTGTATAACTGAGGCATAATTTCCTTACTTTTGTATTCAGTTTCCCTCACAATAAGCGATAACATTCTGAGATAATAAGGTGCAGAGCTGGATGAACACAGCAGGCCAAGCAGCATCAGAGTCCTGCTCCTCTGATGCTGGTTGGCCTACTGTGTTCATCCAGCTCTGCACCTTGTTATCTCAGATTCTCCAGCATCTGCAGTTCCTGCTATCTCTGAAGCGATAACATTCTGTTCATTTTCCTAATTACTTGCTGTACCTGCATATTAACCTTCTGCAATTCATGCACTTTGGACACCCAGGTCACTTTGCATCTTGGAGTTTTCCAATCTCTTACCATTTAGACAAGACTAGAAGGATCTGGTAAACATAGACTGGGCGCAGGTAAGTCTACGTTGGGAAAGTAGGAATCTATTAAAAGTAGTATAATGAGAATTCAGGACCAGCATATTCTTCTAAGAGTGAAGGGCAGCAAGTCCAGGGAATCCTGGATGTCAAGGTATACCATGTCATAGAATCATATAGCATTGAAACAAACCCTTCTGTCCAACCAATCCATGCCAGACATAATCCCAAACTAAACTAGTCCCACCCCTGCATGCTCCTGGCCCATATCCCTCCAAACCTTTCCTTTTCATGTACTTATCCAAATGTCTTTTAAGCATTGTAATTGTGCCTACATCTGCCACTTCCTCTAGAAATTCATTCTGCCCGCAAACCATCTTCTGTGTAAAACAAAAAATTGCCCCTCAAGTCTTTTTTTAAATCTCTTTCCTCTCACCTTAAAAATGTAGGTTGGGAATCAGTGAGGACGACAATAGTGAAGCAGTGTGGCTGAAGATGATCGGGCCTAGGGCACAATGGTGAGGAACTTCTGCAGTCATGTCCTGAGATTGAAATGATTTATCTCCAGTTACCACGACTATCCTTTACAAATAACACAAAGAACTGTAGATGTTGGAGATCTGCAACAAAAAACAGACATTGCTGGCAAAGCTCAGCAGAGTTAACTTTTCAAGTCCTTTACGATAGTTATGACTATGTTGACAGCCTCGGTCAAATGGTGCCAACATCAGTTCAATAAAGAAAATTGGAACAGTTAAAAAGCTCAGCTGGGTGTTCTACATAGAGCAATACTTAATAACAATTTGCTATTTGGGTGAAGTGTCCAAAGAGAAGAAAGAAAAGAACTGGAGACAGAAGAAAGTTGATCATAGTTCAATCATTCAGATAAAATGTATAGTTCTCTTATTACCATCATTTAAAAATTCAGCTGTTTGTTTCAATCAAGCTATCACAAACATCATAATAGGGAATATCTAAATTGCACAGCTGATCTATGAAGAAGACAGGGATGAAGTTGGGGCTCCGTACCAAACACTATTTCTAGCTGAGCATTCACACTGAACCAAAGTAATATCCTATCACTTCACTCTTACTCCTACTGATACAAAGCAATACTTTAATCAAATGTCTATTGTTGCTTGTGCAGCAATTACTATCAACCAAATTTTGCCTGTATTTTCACATTGCTAAAAGGAGAAAAGAAGTTGAAGCTTTTCATCTTGCTTTCATCAGACCTAGGGCGCAGGAGTCAGGATTTAAAATAGAGTCCCTTTTTCTAAGTCTGTTTCTTGCATCCTGGATCTTATAAATGCAAGATGCAAAGCTTTCACTTCTTGCCCCCTTTTAGCAATATTTAAGGCTTTTATTTTCATTACCAAGTACTGGAGTAGTGTTTGAACTTTCTACAGTGGTGTGAGGGCGGAGGGTCTGGCTTGTACTGCCTAGGAGTGTAGTTGAGGAGGGCAACCTCACAACCTTGAAGATATACTTGGATGAGCATTTGAAATATCATAACATTCAAAGTGAAGTGCGGACAAGTGAAACTAGTGTACGTAAGTGATATAATTTTGGCAGTGGAGACTCAAATGGGCTGAAAGGCCTCTTCAGTACTCTGTGATTCCATGACCCAGGAATCAGTGTGCTAGTATGATAATACAAATATATTGTCAACTACTCTATTAAGTTAACACTGCTTAGTTTGGGCTTAGCAATTAAAACATGCAGAAACTTGTAGTTATGGCACAGCATGAAGAATCCAGAGGTTACGAATTCAAATCTCACTGGTGCAGATTGAAGAATTGAGTTCTATAAATCTGGTAATTTGTGGGCTTATACTAGATAAAATAACTAATTTGATATAAAGGCCAACTAATTCACTTGTGCCATTCAGTCTGATGCCTAGCCAGATAACTTGATCTGCAAACTGCTAATAAAACAGGATTGTGGTTGTAACAGTGATATATTGAAATTTCAAACAATGCCTCAGTGCACGTATGGACTGTCATAAATTTTTGTTTGTTTTATTCAGTTAATACAATGTGCTTTTACTGCAGAAGCTATTCAATATTAATTTTCTCTTTCTGTTGTCTTTTCACCGTGCTGTTCTCTTCAGTATTCTTTTAAATATTGATGGATACTTAAACCTGAAATACACTTTGGAAGTTGGTGTTGACCCAAATATCAAGCAATTTGACATTGGACATGAGGTTAGCAATATTTGGCTCTTGTTTAATCTAATGAATATCTTAATAAATTTGAGTCAGGCTAGACATATTATTTTGATATCAAATTACTGTAGATGCTAGAAATCTGAGATGAAAATGGAAAATACTAGAAATGCCCAGTAGGTCTGGCAGCGTCTGAACAGGGAGAAACATTATCATCAACTCTTTCCCACTCCAGCTATGTTGCCAGACATGGTATCTATTTTCATCAAATATATTTTAATTTAAATATTATTTTAAGTCACTACCTGCTACAAGCAGTAAAATTTATTGGTGTTAATCCAAGGGTATATTAGATTATAAGTTTCATGTTCATTCAACATTCAGCAGAATTATAAAAGATTGCATTTATGCTCATCTGAAAGTAAGGAATACTCATGATGGATATAGCAACAATGAACCATATTTCAGGAATTAATGGTATTTAATAGGAAGAAATAATCAATGAATGAGGGTTATTCAGCTCTACATGGGTAGAAATTTTCCAGTTTGCAGATTATATATAGATAACTACAATGCTTACAGTGTTACATTGAATGAATCTTATTTTAAAAGGCTTAAAAAGTAACGTGCAAGAAAATGTAGTATGAGTATTCATTATAATCTGTTTGAGTTATCAGAAGAAACTAATAGATATCCTATGTCCATGGAATGTCAGAATAAAGCTAATTTCCCTGATGTTTTAGATCTAGGTTTCGAAGTCTGCATCTTATAGAATTTATAGAGTTCTATTTTGTGGTAGAATTATGTTGCTGCTGGATTCACTGTCTTGAGCAGTATAGGTAAAGGTGAAAAATTGGGAAAATACAGTAAAAATGAAACAATCAGAATCTCGAACTAGACAAAAATTTTCAATTTTTCCCTTCAGATTTGATAAGCAACTCACTTATTTTTTATGCATTTGCATTGTCACTAGTAGTCCAACTTGTCTTATTTCTGTGCAGCTTCTAATTCTCTTTTCTGAGAAACTAGATGGTGCCAGTTCCCAACATGAAAGGCAGAGTGGAAACCTGGCAGCAGCGGCTTGCCGCTTGCTTCTTGGGTCATTCATCCAGCTCTGACTTCATTATAATATCCCTGCATGATCCACAGACACTGGCCTCTTTCACTTCTCATCTTCAATGGCAAACCAACAACCTCTACTCACCATTATGCCTGCTTTTGAATCAACTGACATGCCACTTCAGCATTTCAGGACTTCACTTTGGAGCTCAAGGACACTTACAATTTGCTTGGTTCTGCCAGGCTGCTTTGCATGCAAGGATGCACATGTATCTCATGCTAAAACAGGATGCATCTTCTTGTTCTTAGCTTTGTACTTGGAGTCTGCTGGCTGCTATGGCCTGCATTGCTTTTTAGTGCATAGAGAAAGATGGTAGCTTGTCATAGTTCAGAGCACTGAACAGTTAAGGAGGTGGGCATTTTGCTATATGGGCATTGTGCCATATTGATTTCACATGAGCCAGCAGCTTATCCAGTAAACACAATGAGTGTGCTTCAACCGAACAACCATGTGAGAAAATCAAAACGGACCTATCTGTATGAGGGGTTAAACGGTGTACGTGTTAGTCAAGGGCTACTGTGACAGTCAATCAAGGGCCTTATTAGATTCCAGCCCAGTAGTTAGTCCTGTAAGTTGTTGTGGTAACGTGCTACATGTTACCTTTAATTTGGCTACTTGTTAAGAAATCTCACAGACAATCAAGGGTTTGATTCTTGTGCAACATTGTTGTTTTGAAGTTCTGCTGAAGAAGAGTTCTGGTGTTGAAGTCTTATATAGTTTCTGGTTCTTCAGATGAATGGTGTGACATTGTTGATGATCTTTTAGATTCTTTCATCAAAAATATTTATTACTCTTCTGGAGTCCTTGAGTCTGCAGCTTAGAACATAGAATTGGATGGCACAGGAACAGGTCCTTCGGCCCACGATGTTGTGCCGAGCATGACGCCAAATTAAACTAATCTCCTCTGACTGCCCTTGTCCAATTCCCTCTATTCCTTGCATATTGATGTGCTTATCTAAAAGTTTCTTAAATGCTCCTATTGTATCTGTCTCCACCACCACTCCTGGCAGCACGTTCCACACTCCTACTACTCTGTGTAAAAAAAAACTTGTCCCTCACGTCTCCTTTGAACTTTCCCCCTGCCTCGCCTTAAATGCATATCCCCCAGTCTTAGACATTTCAACTCTGGGGAAAAAGATTCTGACCATCAAACTTATCTATGCATCTCATAACTTTATAAACTGCTATCAAGTCTCCCCTCAGCTTCCGTCGCTCCTGAGAAAACAACCTGAGTTTTTCTAGCCTCTCCTTATAGCTCATACCCTCTAATCCAGGCAGCATCCTGGTAAAACTCTTTTGTACCCTCTCAAAAGCCTGCAACATTTTTCCTGTAATGTGGCAACCAGAATTGAACTCACTACGCTAACTGTGGACTCATCAAAGTCATATAAAGTTGCAACATAACATCCTGACTCTTGTACTCAGTTCCCTGACAGATAAAGGCAAGCATGCCATATGCTTTCTTCGCCATGCTATCTATTTGTGTGGCCACATTCAGCAAGCTATGGACTTGAACTCCAAGATCCCACTGCACATCAGTGTTGTTCAGGGTCCTGCCATTAGCGATGTATTTTTCCTTAACATTTGATCTCCCAAAGTGCAGCACCTCACACTTGTCTGGATTAACCTCCATCTGTTGTTTCTCCAACCATATCTGCAACTGACCTATATCCCGTTGTATCCTTTGACAACCTTTTACACTATTCACAACTCCACTGATCTTTCTATCGTCTGCAAACTTACTAACCCACCCATCTACGTTTTCATCCAAGTTATTTATATACATTTGTATAAAATTATATACTAATATATATCACAGCTTGCTTCCTTATCAGAAGTAACTCCTCTGTTCCTTGTTACATTTAGCCTTAACAGTCTGTTTAATGACCCAGCCTGTCTTGTAATTAACTCCTTAAATTCTTCAGCAGGGCAGTCATTTGTCCTTGAGGCATGAGGTCAGAAGTCATATGACACCAGGTTGTAGTCCACCAAGTTTATTTGAAATCACAAGCTTTTAGAGCACTGCCCCTTCATCAAGTGAAGTGAAATAAAGTTATCAAGCAGGTGTCAAAATAGTTTTGTTTATGTAGCCTCAACTCCTCCTTTTCCCAGGCATGGGTAATTGCTTTCAATCCGCCAGGTAACAGCTTGTCTTTGTGCCTTAGCAGTGATAAGAGTAAGTGCAATCAGTTTGGGGATAACAGCTACGTCAGCTGAGTTGTCGTGGAGGCATTAGTCAGGGTTCAGGTCAAATTTTCCTATAATGAGACAGATGAAGGAACTGAGTGCAATGGAACTCGATGGAAGAGCAGCTGGTGATGACGCAGGAGCAAAAGTAGTGGGATGAATACGTAAGAAACTCTGAAGGAGTAAAGGGTTAGCTGTTTTGGAGAATGAAATGGGTGAGAATTGTTGAAGGAGAATGAAGAAAAGGATATTGAAGTCAATAACAATAGATATAGGAACAATGATGTCAAAATAACGTGTGCAACATACAAAGCAAATTTAGTATATTAAAGATAGATTTGATGAGCCATAATCATGTTTTTAATGATGAATATGAAATGAAGTTAATAAATGGGCGAGTTGGATTAAAAAGCAAAGGGAGACTCACGACAAAAGTTAAAACAGATGGATTGAGGGGCTGGACAGTAGAAACATTGAAAGATGGCTGCAAAATGGAAGTAGGTAGTAGGAATTAAAGACAACAAGGTGCAGAGCTGGATGAACACAGCAGGCCAAGCAGCATCATAGGAGCAGGAGGCTGACGTTTCGGG